CTAGTATAGATCTATTTCAAGCTATTTAGCTCTCATCAGCTAGCCATTTGGTATAAAATGGTTTGTCGTGAATGCAACTGCTTGAGGGCTCCTGGATTGGAGCTGACCGCGTCATTATAAGTTTGTTAGTTAAAATGTTTAAAATCCTGGCTAAGATCCCAGCTCAGAATCCTCTAAATTCCCAAACAAAAACCCTTTGTAAGGTCTTTCAAAAACTCTGGCTGAAATCCTAACCAACACTTTAAAGATTAGGCAATGTTTCGACAAGCTCTCTACCTTGTCATCTTCATATATATATATATATATATATATATGTAGGTCTTTGGTTATTCGGGTTTTCTCCTGCGTAAAATTGGAAGTGTCTTGGCGACGTTTCGACGAAGTCTCATTCGTCATCTTCAGGCTGGTGTTTTCGGCTTCATGCTTCTAGGACCTCTTCGGCCAAGAGGTTGCAGAAAAAAATGCTTTGAAAAGCCTCTGACAATCCCAGCTGAGCCACACGATCATCAGAGGCTTTTTTTTTTTTACTTTTAAAAGCATTTTTTCATCAGAAGAGGTTGTAGAAAAAATGCTGGGCATGGGGGGGGCGCAGGGATTTTTGCTACCGGTTCTCCGAACCACCCGCTGCCATCACTACCGGATCGGGCGATCCGGTCTGAACCATGAGCATTTCACCCCTGATGTAGTTATAATAATACTTTCTGAATGCACTGTATATGACTGTCTTTTTTACCCTTTTTTAGCATTACATTACATAAATGAATCTCATATTCCATTCCACTTGCCCACACAGTCTATGTCTATAGGCAATCCGCACATAGGTGGAAAGTGCAATCAAGTCTTCAATCCATTGAGTGAAAAGGGCCAGGCAGGTATCTTTCCAATGCTGCAATATCAGTCTTTTGGCCATAGTAAGAGCATGGAGAATCCATTTATGCTGTCCAGTTGTCAAATCCCGTGTACTAAGCATGTAGTTTAAGGGATATAATATCCTCTGAGAATTTTTATCTTTTGTTACTAATTCTCTGAGAAATAACTACAGGACATCGAGGAAGCGATTGGCCACGAGAAAGAAGTGTTTAGGATGACAAGTCATGGAAACTGAATATTTATCAATCAAACAGAAATAGAGCTGGAAGGGACCTTGGAGCTCTTCTGGTCCAACCCCCATTTCAAGCAGGAGACCCTATAGCAGTGATGGCTAACCTTTTTGCCATCGCGTGCCAGGAGCAAGGGGGGGAGTGTGCCCACACCCATAATTCTATGCGCACCACCCCTGAGCATGCGCACACTCCCCCCACCCACTCCTGGCACATGATGGCCCGGTAGGCCCGTTTTTCTCTCTCCCCAGGCTCCAGAGCCTTTCTAGGAACTTGGGGAGGGTGAAAATAGCCTTCCACCCCCTCCCCGGAGGCCTTCCGGAGCCTGTTTCCCTACTTCCAGTGGGCCTAGAAGGCCCATTTTTTGCTCTTCCCCAGGCTCTACAGCCTTTCTAGGAGCTTGGGGAGGGCGAAAACAGCCTTCCACCCCCACCCCTCGGAGGCCTTCTGGAAGCCGGAAACAGCCTGTTTCCCTACTTCCGGTGAGCCTCAAAGGCCTGAAAATGCGCGCGCTGGAGCTAAGCTCGCGTGCCCACCGATATGGCTACGTGTGCCACCTGGAGCACGCGTCCCATAGGTTCGCCATCACGGCCCTATAGCATTTCAGGCAGGTGGCTGTCCAGTGTTTTCTTAAAAACCTCCAATGGTGAAGCCCCTACAACTTCTGAAGGCAAGCTGAGGCCCTAGAAAGAGTGCACAGAAGAACAACAAAGATGATAGTGGTTGTCCAGTCTCTTCTTTAAAATCTTCAGCGTTGGCGCACCCACAATTTCTGGAGGCAACTTCTGTTCCACTGGTTAATTGTCCTCACTGTTAGGCAGTTTCTCCTTAACTCCAGGTTGCTTCTCTCCTTGGATTAGTTTCCACCCATTGTTTCTTGTCTTGCCTTCTGGTGCTTTGGAATGTGCGTCCCAAATTATGTGTGCCTTAGGTCTCTAGCAGTATCAGAGAGGCAAGCACGAGGATGTGATGAGACACACTTGTTGTTTGGTTAGAATGCAAATCAAGGATTAACTGGCCATTTCCTTATGAGGAACGAGTCCAGGAAGCTAAGAGAATGTGTGGAGGCAGACAATTAAGAAACTAGAGATGTAGTAGAATCTCTAGAGAAGTATGTAGTAGAAACTAGAGATGTAGTAGGGTAAAAAAAAAGTGGGGGGGGATATAATTTTGGGCTACCAAATCTGGTGGCCATACTCCAGATCAGGGCTCTCCAACCTTGGCAACTTTAAGACTTGTGGACTTCAATTCCCAGAATCCCTCAGCCAGCTTTGCTGGGAATTCTGGGAGTTGAAGTCCACAAGTCTTAAAGTTGCCAAGGTTGGAGAGCCCTGATCCAGATGATTCCATATGGTAGTACAGGGTTATAGATGTTTGGTATCTCTCTCTATTAGTGGTCTTGTGGATATTTGCAACCATTTCTAGTAGCTGCGTGTAAGCCCTTTTGACAGTTGTTTTATGATTAAACAGGGAAGGAACGATGTTGATTGATTTCTTTCAAGAGAATTTTTTTTTTTTTAATTTGATTTATATGCCGCCCTTCTCCGGAGACTAAGGGCGGATTACAATGCGCTAAGCAATAGCCTTCCTACTTTTGTATATTTATACAAAGTCAGCTTATTGCCCCCACAACTGGGTCCTCAATTTACCTACCTTAGAAAGGATGGAAGGCTGAGTCAACCTTGAGCCTGGCGAGATTCGAACCTGCAGTAATTGCAGGCAGCTGGTCTTAATAACAGGGTGCTTTAGACCACTGTACTACCAAGGCTCTGGGTAGAATATGTTATCTGTTCATACAGTGTATTGCTCAAATGCCTAATTATTCATAATCTTCTGACTGCCTAAGACAGGGGTCTGCAACCTTAAACACTCAAAGAGCCATTTGGACCCGTTTCACCACAGAAAAAAAAACACCAGGAGCCACAAAAGCCCTTCCCGTGCCTGACTATTTCTTGAGCGGCCACAAAACTAGCATATGTAGTTGAATTAAATGTTCTGTTTTCTTCTGAAACTTTTCTTTTCCTGGATTTATCCATGGTGGGCCTACTAGGGGTTGAAAAGCTCAATAAATCGCGTGCCAGCAGGTGTCGCACATTGGCGGTTGTGACGCATATTTTGAGTGATAAGGAGCCGCAGCAGAGGGGTGAAAGAGCCACGTGCGGCTCCAGAGCTGCAGGTTGCTGACCCCTGGCCTAAGAGAAAGAAGGAAAGAATAGATAAGGGATAAGAAAGGAGGTGACACCAACTTCAAACCGAAACCTCAATGTCAAATAGGTCTGATGTGTATCATTCTGAGGGGATGACTGAGAGTTTTTAAAATATAGGCATTTATCCTCAAAATAAGGGATTATGACACTTGCAATGAGCCCAATTTTGCTGCAAAGGCAAGGACAGATCTTTTTATCATTTTGCCTTTTTTTCTGAATCTTGAGTTTATGAGAAGGTTTGAAGAGGTATTTTTTTCTCCCTTGACTTGGAAAGGCCGAACAATGCCAGAATAAAACGACCTCGTCTGTAAAATGGGTTAATTGGCACATTCTTGAAATATCAACAATCTGCTAACAACCAAACAAAAAACAAAAAAAAAACCCCCACCTTGTCTGTAATTATATTTTTTCTCTTTGTCACACTTTTGCGCAGACAAGGCCTTTCAAATCAATAAACTGACAGGCATGTAGGTCTGTATTGGATTTTAACCGGTGTGTTTTAGCACATTACCATCTTTTAATAAACACTGTAAATAGGTCACAGTTATTCCCACTTTAGAAATGAGAGCAGTTGTTATTTATGATCTTATCAGGAACAGACTATATCTGAGCTGGTTTCCTGCAGCCGGTTCTAACATAATTATCCTCTGAAGCCATTTTAGTTCTGGTACATATTTTTATATAACTTTATTAAGATTCTGATTCTGCTGCCATGAGTTTAGCGTTTGCTGTCAAAATCTGAGACAAAGCAGTCCAAACTACCAGTTCAAACCTATTTACATGGAAATATTAGCAGCAAAGTTAATAATATTAGGCAGTAATATTATTAGTAATAGGCGACAAAATGATTATTAGATGTATTTAGCTTTAGATTGCTCTGTAGCTTTATAGCAAGACAATATTAGTGTTCTTTTTTAAAAAAAAAATCAACATTTTTCAGTAGCTGTAATGCAGAGGTATTATACTGTATGGAAATCAGAAAGTCTATTTACATGGAAATATTAGCAGCAAAGTTAATAATATTAGGCAGTAATATTTAGTAATTGGCGACAAAATGATTATTAGATGTATTTAGCTTTAGATTGCTCTGTAGCTTTATAGCAAGACAATATTAGTGTTCTTTTTTAAAAAAAATATTTTTCAGTAGCTGTAATGCAGAGATATTATACTGTATGGAAATCAGAAAGTCTTTGGATAAAACCATCATATTTTTCACTGAAGAAAGTGGAACAAGCAAACAGGTCAACAAGCAAACCACAGTTGCTTTCTTTTGTTATTTACTTTTCATCACCATGCTGGAGAAGAATTAAAACGAGTTAACTATCAAGAATAGCATCGTTCTCCTTTAGATCTGGCCCGCAATCTTGGGACGAAGGCTGGCAAAATTAGCAATGACAGAGAGAGGAAAGCGGAAAGTAGAGAGCAGAGTAAAACATTTTGTGCTATAAACAGAATAGCCTTGTTCTGAAATTCTTGCCTAGTAATTATAGCAGTAAGGAATTATCTTGAACGGAGGGAACATGGTGGTAGTGATGGGATGAAGTCCTTAGTTCGTCTTCTCTGCCCCACAGGCTGTTTTAAAAGAGAGATGTTACTTTCGCTTCTCTTTTGGAGTACCACGCCAGGCCAGAGAAGATGCTTCTGTAGGGTTAAAGATCAGATTCCATAAACATTTATTCTCTGTCTTGATCAGGTGAGCCGACCCCACCCAAGCGATCATCCTATACTGGTTATCTTCATGGTTGGTGGTGTAACGGTATCTGAAGTCCGAATGATGAAGGATCTTGTAGCAGCTCACAAGCCTGGAGTAGAGGTATGGAATATATAATAAAATAATAAATAATAACAGAGGTGGTATGAAAAAGGACAATTTGCTCTAGACCAGGGGTGTCAAACTTGATTTCATGGAGGGCCGCATCAGGGTTGTGTTTGACCTCGGAGGGGTGGGGGGGACAGGGAGAGCGTGGCCGGGGGGGGACATTGCCAGCTCGACATTACTCGTGTTGGGGGAACCTGTGGTGGTCCAAGCGCTCTGCCAGTGAAAACAAGCTCCCAAGCTCCGCTTTCAGCTGCAACAGCTTCCTGCAATCCTCTGCCATTGAAAACGGAGCTTGCGCGGCCCTCTTGAGCTCCATTTTTGGCTGTAACAGCCTCCGGCAACCCTCTGCCAGTGAAAACAGAGCTCGTGAGGGCCCTCCCGAGCTCTTTTTTCATTGGCAGAGGCACTGTGGGCCAGACCTTCGCTGATTCCAGAGCGGCCCCAGATCTAAGCACATCATGGGTCAGATGCAGCCGACAGGCCTGGAGTTTGACACCCCTGCTCTAGACAATCCAATTGTACCGTTGCCAGGTAGAGGAAGATTGAAGGGATTAAGAAAGAGTTAGGGCAATGCCCACTTCATTTGGATGGGTAATGAGATCAGGAGGGAAGTGTTTCGGTAATACTGGAAAGTCTGTAATGCAATTCAGCTTTCTTGTGGGACTTTCAAAGACGTTTTTTGAAGCAAACCTTCACAGCAGAAGTTCAAAATCCTCTAAGACTAATATAGGAAGCCACAGGTTATCAGATTTGGGAGCCAAGTAATTCATGAAAGCTCCTGAAGGGAAGAGTCTAAAGTCATTAAAGTGCATTAAGGCTTTTGAACTCTTTGGAACTTATTCATCTGCCCTCAGGAACTTGTGAGCTGGACAGTTCCTGGAGAATTTCAGTCAGCATTGTGGTGCTGATTTTCAAGCTTCTGGGTGTGGATTGTCCACCATTTTGTTTGGCTAGTCTAAAAGAAAGAAGAATTTAGGGTGACATGATAACAGTATTTCAGTATTTGAGGAGCTGCCACAAAGAAGAGGGGGTCAAATTATTCTCCAAAGCACCAGTGGGTAGGACAAGAAACAATGGTTGGAAACTGGAATTAAGGAGAAACTTTCTAACAGTGAGGACAATTAACTAGTGGAACAGCTTGCCTCCAGAAACCATGGGTGCTCCATCACTGGGTGTTTTTAAGAAGGGTCTAGACCCGTGATGGCAAACCTATGGCATGCGTAGCCATATCAGTGGGCATGCCAGCTCAGCTCCGGCGCGCATGTGCGTGCCGGCCAGCTGATTTTCAGGCCTTCTGGGCCCACCAGAAGTAGGGAAACAGGCTGTTTCCTGCCTCTGGAGGGCCTGGGATGGGTGGGGATGGCCCGTTTTTCTTTCTCACCTGGCTCCAGATCCTCTCTTTGCATCTGGGGAGGGCGAAAACAGCCTTCCCCAGGCCCTCCAGAGGCCCGAAACAGCCCGTTTCCCAAATTCCAGTTGGACAAGAAGTGATGTTTTTTGCTGTCCCCAGGCTCTGGAAGCTGGGGACAGCAAAAAACGTCACTTCCTGTCCAATCAGAATTTGGGAAATGGGCCGTTTCGGGTTTCCGGAGGACCTCCAAGGGGGTGGGGAAGGCTGTTTTCGCCCTCCCCAGATGCATAGAGAGGATCTGGAGCCAGATGAGAAAGAAAAACGGGCCTACTGGGCCATCGCATGCCAGGAGCGGGAGGGGGAGGGGGGTCACGCGCGAATGCGTGGAGCGGGACGCATAGAATTATGGGTGTGGGCACCTGTGTGCATGAACCTCCCTGTCCCCCCCTCCTGGCACGCGATGGCAAAAAGGTTAGCCATCACTGGTTTAGACAGTCACTTATCTAAAATGGTATAGGTTCTGCTGCTTGAGCAGGGAGCTGGACTAGAAGACCTCCAAGGTTCCTTTTAGCTCATTCTGCTCTGCTCTGCTCTGCTCTGCTCTGCTCTGCTCTGCTCTGCTCTGCTCTATATTTTGTAAAGACTTCATTGCATATATACGTTTTCTGCATAAATCTTTGGCTCCAACTCTAAACTTTTTCACCATTATAGAAAGACACTAAGAGCTTCCCATCTTTTTCTTCCAAATCCAGTGCTGCCAACAGCAACAGGAATTCAGACAGATACCATCCTTCCTTTCCACCTAAGCTCCCTTATATCCTAAATTACATATGCTTTACATATGGAATGTATCGTAAAGCACGCTGGCCACATGTTTGTTATTAATGGAGCTATTGTAGGAGGGCCCACCGAGTACCTGCGGGCCTGGATTAAATGCCTCCTCTCTGTTAATGGCATTCTTGACTTCAGAGCTCATTTAATTGTTCCCGAGATTTAAATACTTCTCTAGAAACGCATTTTCATCTGATAACATGCCCTTTTTTTTTTCTTTTCTTTTTTTTTGCACTTAACCTCCTAATTATCTCCTTAGAGTAGTGAATCGACTTCTTCGCTGTCTAAGGCAAGTCTTGAATTTGTGGCGCGCGCTGATGGACAAGTTAATCCAGACTCCCAATGTATTACTCTGGCTTGAAAGATAAGCAGAGGTTTAATGGGTGATGAGAGAGAAAATGGCGTAGCCAAGTTTTGGGATTCCTATCTGAGGGGGATTGAGGCTTGACAAGAAAACGGCAGTTGCTTTGCTTGGGATTGACCCTGGTGGTGATGGGTCAGCTTGTGAGAGAAAGAATTCAGAGGATTTTACCCTTAAATGTCCTCTATACAAAGCCGTTACACACTAGAGCGAGTGTGTTGCTTGCCCATAGTTACTTTAAGAGGTGTGGACCCCAGGCTGGGAAATTCTGGGATTTTGAAATCCACAAGTCAGCAAGATTGAGGAACGCCGCACTTGAGGCTTAAGAGCTTTAGAATGGGAGGGGAAAAAGAATCCTAAAGTTAGTCATTTCAAACAGAAATAAATAAATATAGGCCTTTTGTGCAAAACTATTTCAAAGTTGCTGCATTTAAAGCTGCCTTTCTCCAGGCCTCTGAATATTTACTCCCGGTGCTAAATGATGTTTCTAAATAGCTAGCAGGGGTGAGTTCTAAATTTTTTTACTACCGGTTCTATGGGTGTGGCTTATTTTGTGGGCATGGCTTGATGGTTATTTATTTATTTATTTATTTATTTATTTATTTATTTATTTATTTATTTATTTATTTATTCGAATTTCTATACCGCCCTCCTTTCGGACTCAGGGCGGTGAACAGCCAGATAAAAAACATCTATACAAACATCACGGTTAAAAATAAAGTTAAAATAATTTATAAATTGTATGTAACAATTCTTTAGGATTTAGCAGAGTTACTGGCCTACCAGGCTTTTAACTGCTTGCAGAGCTGTACCGGTCTACTCATTTGTTTTGGGAGGCACCGGTCTATTCATTTGTTTTGGGAGGCACCAGTCTACCACCACACTGCCTTTTAACACTGATCAGCTGTAGGGCGGCCCTTTGAAGACCTGCGGCAAGAGTTTAAACAGCTTTTTTCCTTCTAGCCGATCAGCTGGGACTTGGGAGGCAGCAATAGATTGGGAGTGGGGCCAAATAAAAGGTAAGAATAACGCGGGGGGGCGGGAGGGCCCAGCTCCCGAACAAAGAGAACCGGTTCGGTGACGTCATATCGTCACCGCTACCGGCTCGGCCAAACCGGCCCGAACCGGGAGGAACCCACCACTGATAGCTAGGTGTTTTAAATATTAAGCAGACAGTTTAGCATTTATATAGTTATTGTATATAGCCAAGGGGGCACTATATAACAGAACCGACCATACAAACATATGCCTGTATGGGATTCATCTGTCAACCTGGCACATGATTTTCAGAGCCCTCCAGAAAACTAAGATCTGGATCCACAATTAACCAATGTCGCTTTAAACAGGAATTAGATTAAATATGTAACTCTGGAGTATTTTTTAGCAAGAACTGAAACAGTGGTTGATAGATTAGTAGTTCACTTCCAAAATGTGACTGAAATGGAAGCAAATTTCACTGGTTATAGAGATGTAGAACATACAGTAATTCACATACAATAGCGATCAGATCCGAATTCATGCTGATAACGTAAATGTTTATGACACAGCTTTTGTAAAGGGGTGAGCCCAATTGTTGTTGGTATTTCAGAGATAGAAGATCCTGCAAAGATGAAATTATGACTATGATTATTGTAGCAGTAACTGTACTGGGTTATAAATACATGACAATATGTACCAGTTGTGCCTTAAGATGAAATATTAATTAATATTAATGTTAAAATTCTAATCAGTAGGTTCAATGAAAATATTAATGGATCAGTCGGTGTGGCAAATTTTAATCAGAAAGATCAAAGTACATTTTCATTTTTAGTTTTTCATTCTACTGTGCCATTTGGTATATTACTGTGATGAAAAATATTAAATATGGGCTTTACTTTCTAGTAACGAATGGGAACTTTTGATTATTAATTCACGCATATCTCAAGGAGGAATTATACTGAGATTTGATAACGTATAAAAGTTAATCAATTAAAAAGGGCTTTAATCAACTAAAGTGCTGAGTAGCCTGACAGCCTTCCTAAACAAAATCTTGATCATGAATATTTGAGCTGCATGTAAAATATTTCTTGATAACACTTGTCAAGGAGAAACACCAATACAAGACTCGGCCTGTGACAGATTCTCCCCCACAACTCCCCCGAGGGCCTGGATGGGAGAAAGTGATGGTCTCTCTTTCTCAGCAGTGAATTGACTAAATAATGGAGCTGAAGAGAAGCAAGAACCACCAAATGTCTGTAGTGCAGTATCTCTGTATGAAGGCTAGGCTAGATGATGATTAAGAGACGTCTAGTCTCAAACTACCTAAGCATATAACATATAAACCATGATAGTCTCTTCCATTAATGTCGGTCACTGATAGCCCTACACTGGGGGTTTCAAACTCAGGGGTGAAATCCAGTAGGTTCTGATAGGTTCTGGAGAACCGGTAGCGGAAATTTTGAGTAGTTCGGAGAACTGGCAAATACCACCTCTGGCTGGCCCCAGAGTGGGGTGAGAATGGAGATTTTGCAATATCCTTCCCCCAGGAGTGGGGAGGGAATGGGGATTTTGCAGTATCCTTCCCCTGCCACACCCACCAAGCCACGCCCACAGAACCGGTAGTAAAAAAAAAATTGGATTTCACCACTGTTCAAACTCGATTTCATTGAGGGTCGCAACAAGGTTGTGTTTGACCTTGGGGGCCAGGGTGGGCATGGCCAGGGTGGATGTGGCCAGCTCAACATCACCCGTGTCGGGGGCACCTGTGGTGGCCAAGTGCTAAGGCAGGACTTTCCTCAGACCCTCCCTCTCATTATAATCTTCCTTCCTTCCTTCCTTCCTTCCTTCCTTCCTTCCTTCCTTCCTTCCTTCCTTCCTTCCTTCCTTTTCCTTCCTTCTTCCTTCTCCATTTTTCTTCCTTCCCCTCTTTCCTTATGTTTCCTTCCTTGCTCTCTTCCCATCTTTCCTTCTTCTCCTGTGTCTTTCTTCTTTCCCTTTCTCCTCACCTGCCGCTTCTTGCATGCTCAAATGCAAAAGGGGAAACATTTCTCCTTTTGTTTTGTTTTTAATTTGTTTTGCTAGCCCTCTGCCAGTGAAAACGGAGCTCGGGGGGGCGTGGCCTCCCGGACCCCGTTTTCGGCCGCAATAGCCTCCTGCAGCCCTCTACAAGCAAACGGGCCTCGAGCCCTACACGGTTGACCCAATCAAGAAACAAACACTGCCTAGGTCTAAAATTACTTTTATTGGAATAGCTAAAATAACAGAGTCAGGATGTGTCTCCTTCTCCCTCTTAAATTCATGCGAATTAGAAGGGCACCTGTCTTAGGCATTTTTGTAAATCTCTGTCATTGTATGGCCTTAAATCCAGTTTATTTGTTCAATGCCTTGGCAATGGATCTTTTCTCCCTCTAGTCACAACTTATGCAAATTGCATACTTTCTGTCATGCAATTTCCCTTACATCATCTTTCATTCTTGCGTCCGCTCATTAGGAAGGCATCAAATTGGCAATCATTCCCCTGGAATTTCCTTTTTGGAACAGTAGAAAGGAGGGCATAGAAAATCACATGTTAAATTTTGCAAGGCGTGCGGTGGCTCCCAAGGTTAGGACGCCGGGCTGACGATCGGCAGGTTTGCGTTCGAGACCCAGTTGCTGCCATGGGATGGAGTGAGCTCTCGTCACATACTCCAGCTACTGCCGAGCCAGCAGTTTGAAAATGGGCAATTGCGAGCAGATAAATGGGTACCACTTTGGTGGGCAATTTAATGGGGACAGATAAGGAGCCCCCAGACAATGGTGAGGTCACCGTTCAATCCTTTCAATCCAAAAGCGCTTTAGCGCACCAGACATGACTGTAGTAGTAGTACTTTTTCTATTCAGATTCTACAACACTGGACGCACATTCAATAGGCAGCATTGGCTTCCATTCAAATAGGAAAAGGCCAACATTGGTTCCCATCCACTGAGCACATGATGGGGGAAAACTGTAAGAGCAATTCATTAAAATAATAATAACAACAACAACCACAACAAGACAGGCATTGACAAATTTGCCATCAGTCAATTGCAGAAGGCAGCTTTACTTGGAACGGCTTCCATCCTGCGATGATATCTGTAACACTGTCAAACATCCATATCTGCCTATCCCAGATTTTTGGTAAGGACTCGATAGGTAGACAAAAATGCCAAACACTGTCTGAATATCTGGCTGACTGTGATAATAATAGTAATATTAGTAATATATTTTAAGGAGATACTTGGTTGATACCTAGGACACTGGCAGGCAACCCGTATCAACCATCAGCACCAGTCAATGGTATTTGTGATGCATTTTTGAATGTTCAGTTGGCTGAGTTTCATGTTTAATGAATAAAAGAGATAATAGTAATAGTAGTAATAATAGTAATGCTCAATCTTCCTATCACTCTTAGTGAATTACAGCAATTCTGATGATTGAAAGTTTGCTTATGAATTGTATGCTGAGGAGATACCGTATTTTTCGGAGTATAAGACGCACCTTTTTCACCCCTAAAAGGGGGTGAAAATTTAGGTGCGTCTTATACACCGAATGTAGCCCCGCCCACCCACTGGCCCCCACCCTTTGGCCTCTGCCTCGCAGCAGTTACTTCCTTGCAAGCAAACAGCAAGAAAAAAACAGCTCCTTTCAGCTTCAGCACAGCCTAATTAGCACAAGTTGATTGGATGGGCCTCCCGACTCTCAGCTGGTTTGATCTCAGCTGTTTTGCGCAGGGCTCTGCTGCTTGCCGCAAAGAGGTAAATTGCTGGAGCAGATTTTTTTCCCCCTTATGCTAATCAAGCTATGGTGAAAACGAAAATGAAAGTAAAGCAGGCTGTTTGCTGCAAGGAGGCAAAATTGCTCAGAGGCAGAGGGAGATTTCTTTTTCTTCTTTTCCTCACCAAAAAAGCTAGGTGTGCCTTATACTCCGAAAAATACGGTATTAGCTTATTTGCTCATAGGACCACAACTCTTCATCACTGAAGGTTTCCATCACTGATGGAGGCAGCAAAAGCTGGTCATCCTATCCATATATGCATGTATCTTTTGCTTTCCAGGTAATTGTTCTCTCTACAGCTCTCCTGACACCATATAACATTCTGGAGCGGCTTTTTGCAACAGATCGTCTCAAGCCAGACATCGGTATCTGAAGTGGCCAAAGCGGGCATCTGGCCCAACCTGTGGGAAACGCACCAAATTCTTGCCTTCTGCCTTTCAAGGACATTCCATTAAAACAGAGATGCTCTGAAATTGCCCGTAATATGAGAAATGTTCAGAGGGGGAAATCGTGATGAGCTCAATGTTTGTGAAGAAAAGCACCTACCTTCGTCATTGCTTCAAAGCCATTTTTGAGGGATGTCATGCTGACCTTCTTATCCTTGCAGAAAGGTTGCTTTTAGCTGAAAATCCTTTCTCTCCAGCTTATTAGCAGCGATGATGGTTGCAGGGCATAAGTGTGTCAGAGTCTGTAAAGATTCAAAGAACATTGTAAAAGCATGAAAGAAAGCAACTCAGGCCTTCATTTTTAGACAAAGCTTTTGCTGCATTCATTTGAGCACCCTTGTTCACAAATTTTCTTTAGCAAGGTAGATAAAAGATACCGCCACCCCAAAAAAATAAAAAATAAAAAAGACATGGGGAAATGTGTGAGTGGCAAATTTGATCGGGAATATCTTTATGATCTCTGAGTTAATGTACCCTTCTCGACAAATAGTTATGGGGAGGGGGAAGCCAAGATTCAACAGCATCTGGAGGGTGAATCAAAATAAGCAAAATGGATGGTTGTGAAATTGCAATCCAAGCATTGCCCTTTTGTGAGTGCACCAGTCTGAAAGGGTTGGGGTTTTCAGTTGTGTTTTTTGTTACTGCCATCTTGCCTTTTTTTGATTCATGTCTAGATTACAAATTAGTAGCCAAGTTACAAGGCAGGAGACACCCAGGTGGGAAGAGTTAATTGGCATGAATTTGAAGCTAATTGGGTTTCCCCTAGAGCTCCGGTTTCCATTCTTCTAAGGCAGGGGTCGGCAACCTTAAACACTCAAAAGAGCCACAAAGGTCCTAACCAGAACTCCCCTATTCAATTCTGGAGCCAACTGGAAGTCCAGTTCCTCCACCATAGTCTCTCCTCTTAGCACGGCATCTTTTTTCCTCTACCTGTCCTAACAGCCCTATCAATTGTGGAGCCGACTGGTGATAGGGAGCCGCAGCAGAGGGATGAAAGAGCCACATGCGGCTCCAGAGCCGCAGATTGCTGACCCCTGTTCTAAGGGAAAACCAGTCTCCTGTTCCCCCTTAAACAGAAAGATGTAGCGCGCGTGCTACCGTTGGATTCCTACTTCCATCAGCCTCTGCCTTTAAGACAACACTCCAAATTTCTCCGAAGCACTACAGATACCCTATCCCTTATTTAGAACTCGGTACTTCAATAAAAGCAAACCCAAACTCTTCAGTGCGTAACGGATATGTTCAAGTAATCCAAAATTGTCTCTGGCCAGATTACCACCCCAACCCCTCCAAAATGTGTAGAAGTTGCTTCAGTAATAATCTAAAGAGAACATCTCATTGTCATGATTCTAACTTTGCAGGAGGGAAGACTATCCTTATGGTACTCCATCTACTAGCTCTTCCATCTCCAGACCCAGTGTTTCACTTAAACCTCTAGTTGTCTGGGAGAAAATGTTTGCCTGATGTTTCTGACATGCTTGTTTTCAGTATGAAGAGAGTCTGATGGTATTTATTGGATGGAGCCTATCCCATATAGCAGTGATGGCTAACCTTTTTGCCATTGCGTGCCAAAAGCGTGGGGAGCGTGGGGGGGGGGTCACGTGCACGCAGACCCACACCCATAATTCAATGCACTCCCCCCCCCCCCCCCGTGCATGCGTGCCCGCCCCCCCCGCGCTCCCTCTCTTTTGGCACGCAATGGCACGATGGGACTGGAAGGCCCGTTTTTCGCTCTCCCCAGGCTCCAGAGGCTTTCTTGGAGCCTGGGGAGGATGAAAACAGCCTTCCCCACTCCCCCAGAGGCCCTCTGGAGGTCGGAAACTGCCCATTTCCTGACTTCTGGTAGGCTCAGAAGGCCCAAAAATTAGCTGGCTGGTGCGCACATGTGTGCTGGAGCTGAGCTATGGCAACGCTCGCGTGCCCACAGATATGGCTCCGCGTGCCACCTGTGGCACGCGTGCCATAGGTTCGCCATCACGGCCATATAGGATATTCAGAGAAAGATCCACAGGGGGGAAAGTTGCCGTCCATTTCTTTAAACATCACCCGCACGGAGTGTGTATTTTACATGTTCAAAGCAAAGAGCCTGTCTAATGTTTTTCATGCAGTTTATTTTCTGAACGATAAAAAGTGGCATGATTTAAGGTTAGGGAGCAGCGCCTCATATGCCAAGCCTATTTGTGACATGGTTTTCTTTTCATGCTGCTATTGCATTGTTGACTTGGCTTCAGCAACTTTTGATTCTGTTTTATACTGTAGTAGAATATAGCTGGATGCTGCCTTGTTCAGCGTCACCAAATCCAGTAGTTTTGCTGATGCAAAACTGTCCTTTTTAAAAGACTTTTCATGACCCCTGTGGAAAATGATTTAAATTGGGCTGCGGCAAACAGAAGGCAGCCATTTTGTGAAACATGCCTCACAGGAGAAGGGCAAACTTCTGAGCATTTACTTATGACCATAATCGGTGGATGAGCTGGCAAGCCAGCATGAGCTATAAAACTACTTAATTAGAAGAAAGGGTAAACGCAGTCCCCATGGTTACCAGGCCAGATCTGTCATATTGAACTAATAGGCTAAATTCTCCTATTAAATGAAGGATTCCGGTATGGGCCCAACTCTTTCTCATGTCCACAACCGAATTGGAACGCGGGCTGAAAACGGGGGACTGCGGAGAGCTGAGTTATGCGGGACTTTGTGTAAGGTTACGCTGCGCTCCGTTCGTGCAGAATTCCACAGAGTTTCTTCTTACAATCTTTTATTTGCCTTCCTTAATCAGTAGAGAATAAATTTAGCCTCTTAATTCAGAATGGCCGATAATAGGGGACCAGAAAAACCAAAATGGACGCCTTCTCCCATCCCACATGCAAGGAATGCTTAAAAATTAGACTTTGCCCAGGTAGCCATGCCTGCTAATCTTGCCTTATTTGACACACACACATGGATGCTCCTGTGTCGAGTTGTAGCTCTTGCGGCACAACGGAAGCAGAGCCTCGCAGCAAGGGAGCACCCACCCCTTCCCTCGTCCTTGGTACCACAGCTGCCAAGGATGCTTTGGTGTTTTTGATTGATATGTTGTGCTAGGTAGACTTTTTGGGGAGTTGTGGCCAAGTGGTAATGCCCATGGGGGTTTTAGCAGAAGCCCCTGAATAATGGGAGTGGCCACCGTGTAGTTAGAAAAGCATTTGAGAAGCAGGTAGCTTTGTATAGCAGCTGCACAACTGTTGTGGGTAAGGAAATCTATACTAGCCAGAGAGTTGCTGGTGGGTGTGTAGCACTCTCAAAAACCAGTGGACCTGTGCCCCTGAATGATTTGTTTCACACCTCCAGTAATACATTTTTTTCCCGTTGCTTCACAGGCAGTAGAAATCTTACTAATACAGCCTCATTTTTTTCCCCCTATGTACATTGCCTAGCAACTGGTTAGAAAAATACAGCAAATTCTTGAGAAAACATTGTTTAATTTAATGATGACACAGAATAAAGAAGTTGTACCCTGGTAATATTTCTGAAACATAAAATAAATAAGTTACCGCTTAAGGGGAAAGCACAGTGTTGCCTTTTCTCGAACTGCATCGACGGTATGTTTGCCTATCTTATTTTAAATGTGTTCTGCTTCATGGGACAAGCCTCATGGTCCAGCATTCGGCTAGTTAAATCACAGAAGGCAGATTGATATAACAGTGGAAAACCCCTTGTGCCTCAACTAGAGATACGGCTCAGCTGTGAAAGACCTGCTCCACACCTAGCAAAGAAGCAACATGAATGGAAACAGTGAGATTTTCGATCCATATTTAGATTCAGTTAATTTGGATTTATCTGAAAAGAAATTCAACACTGCATCGGACGACCGACAATCTTCAGACTATCTTAAAATCTTGAGAACGTTATGTAGTTGTAAAAATTACACTTAAGTATTTGCAGCCACAGTACGTATGTCTCATCGCAATCAAATATCATCCCTTAATAATGCCCAGAAGTTTTAGACCAAAGACTGTTACTGCTCTGTTGGAACAGAAATACTTGTACTTCATGAGCTGGAGTAAAAAAAAAAGAAAAATCAAAAGTCTCTAGTGAGATTTATAAAAGAAACCAGCCCTAATCGAATAGGATATCTGGATATCTGTTTCCAATGAAAGAAATGGCTTTCTGAGTATTTTCCCCCATTCTTCTTCTACAATTAAAGTTAACAGGATAGTACCAAGCTATCCTAACCTCCATCACAGAATATGGCAATGTTCTGAATCCATTCAAATGTCCTGCTTTCAGCGTAAAAGTATGCAACGTGTCCCTTCTTTAGGAACCTATTCAAGTTTTGGTGGAGTTCCTCCTTTGCATAATGCTTTATACTCCCTAGTCCAGGATCCACCAGAACACTTTCTCTCTCTTTGGTTGCCTTGGTGCCAGCAAAATGTTCCCGACTTGGAACCAATGACACTCTTCGCTGAGAAGAGGAAGCGTGAAGATTTTTTTTTTCCATCCAGGTCAATCAACCTTTCAGACAGAGGTCACGGTTCTCACTTTGGCCGACAAAGCTTGCTTAAACCTTCTCTTCAGGTCTTGCATGTTGGGTGACTTGGGCCTTGAGATGAGACAACTTCTCCTCTTCTCCGGAGTGCCGGTGGGTTGTTGCTTACTGACTTCTTTGCACAAGCTGTGGAAGGCACAGAAGACCTCTTTGTAGTTCTCACTGACAGACACTTCGTAGAAATTGCAGCCCAGCATGCCGGCCAGCTGAAGTCCATGCTGAGGTTCTACCTCTTTAATATGGAGCAGGTCCGCTTTGTTTCCTACGATAACTACGGGAACCCGATTGCCCGGATGGACCTGCCGTATATGCTGGTGGAAATGGCCAAGGAGTTCGTAACTTTTATGATCGGTAATCGAAAAGACGATTACAACTGCATCCGCCCAACGGAGACACTTGTTCAGCTGTTCGTTACAATCCAGGCCGTGTCTGTGCATCTGTTTTTGTTTTTTTTTTAAAAAAAGGATAGGATAAGAAAATTATTTGGCTGCAAAGTTTGAAATGAAAGCTACAGATCTTTCTGATAACAGCTTCTATTCCATTTTATATATATGAGTTAACACTGTCCTGGTTTGTTATTCTCCCACTCTCCCAGGGGTGAAATCTACTTATCTTCCTTACCGGTTTGGAAGTGCATGCGCTGCCCCCATGCATCACACTTCACTCACACGCACGCGCAGACCCTCTGAGCATATACAAAACCTTCTGCGCATGTGCAGAGGGTAAAAAACACATTACTTCCTGGTTAAAACCAGGAAGTAATGGTTTACTTCCGGGCGGGTAGGCAGAACCTCGCGCCGCCATCGCTACCGGTTCTCCGAACTACCTGCCACAATCGCTGCCGGATCACCCGATCCAGTCCGAACCGGGAGCATTTCACTCCTGCTCTCTCCCCCAAGTTTAGCCTCTCTCCTTTCCTGTTGCTTAAACAAACAAAAACTCAGGCTAAACTGGGTTATTCTGAAGTTTGCTACATTCAAGTGGAAAACTGACCCGCGTCACTTTCTGTAAAGTAAAATAATTTGTGGTGCCAAAGAATGGGAAATTAACTGGCTAGACAGTCAGTGGGGAATGGAGTGGGGGTGAGGCGAACAAAGGTATGAGCTGGAAACGTTTATAGAGTTGGAGGCTTGCCCAGTTCAAAAAGGCAAATTTTGACCTTACACATGTCTATCCGTTTAAACTTCCCACAATACAAAATCCACTCCAAAGTAATTTTAATGAGTACAGCTGCTGGTACCGTTGAATTGTTTCAATTATGTGTTTATTAAATGACACTTGATTGGGCTGTAAAATATGAAAATATTTCTGGTACCTTTTGCCAGGAAGCAAAAAAACACAATGTTTTAGTTTTCCAAGAAACGGCTCTTTACCCCATGAGCAGCAATTCTGGTTTTATTTAGAAAGGTGGCCTCCTTAAAACGAGTGCTGTGTTTTCAAGTGGGCAAACATTGAATTGAAATTGTGGGTTGTTTTCTTTTACTGTCAGGAGAGTATAGACACACCATTTATCTGGCACTGACTGTTTACAGTCATTCCTAGCAACAAAAAGAATCTGCAGTGACTCCATTGCCTAAAGCCGACCTGCATCTCAGCCAATATCTACAACCCAAGTCTTGAATCTCAGCAACAATGAGGCTCCCTTTTAAATTATGGGATGCAAAGGAAACCACTCACCTGTACTCCAGGTGTATCTTGTACCTGAATTGCAAACATCTCTCCATCAATTTCAATCTGTCGGCTGTACAGATTTCCTGGCAATAGAAATAAAGACAGAATTTTAACAAAGGGTTACCAAAACGGAAGACACTTCTATTAAAAAAAAAAAATCGCAGTAAATACAATTGCCATGTCCTACTTGGAAATCGGGGTGGGGAAAAACCATTCTAACTTTATTAGACACATAGAAAATAATTAGCACCATCCTAGGCGTCTTATTTAGCCATTCAATGGGACTAAATTGCAGGTGAGTATGTATAAGATTGCAGCCTAAATGAACAACTACGGAGAGGTAAACAAACAACAGAAGCACTCGTAAAATTAGCTGACGTTGTCAGATGACTTTAAGCATGCTTTCTTATAAAACTAACTTTAGGTATAAAGTTACTGCTACAGCCAGGTGCAAAAGAATTTATTAGCTGCCTGGGCCTTTTGTACAGAGCATTGTGCCTCAATCTTGACAACTTTAAGACATGTAGACTTCAACTCCCAGAATTTCTGGGTTGCCGAGGTTGAAAAACATTAGTAGAGTAGAACAGCACACCTTGCAATTAACAGGAAATTTATGGAACAATTACACTGTACCAGGAGAATTAACTGTATTTACATTTTCTGCCACAAGAATGAATAATTGTGATGTGCTGCATTTTGATTGCCGTGTTTTTACTTTGATTATGGTTTCGACCTACCAGGTAAGTCTCTTCCATCCCATCAGCCTTCTATAAGAAAACCTTCAGTTTCATTGATTTCTCATCTGTATCAAATATTGTTCTTCCTTTGCTTTGGCAGCCAGGAAGTTTATTTAGTTATGGTCACGCACGACCTATATGTGGACACATCTCAGGATTTCTTGCAGCATTTGGGGCAATAACTTTGGACTGGGTCAGTTATCTTGGATTTTTAGATGTTTCAATGAAGTTTACATTGTTGTGTTATTTGCCAAAAAGTGTGGGAAATCACATCTCTGCTTTTTTTTTTTTAGCACTCTGCAGTAGAAATCCAGTGATGAGATTTGCTCTTAATGCAAACGCATTTTGCTGCAAGTTGATCTGTTTTCCCTGGTTTTTTTAAAGGATTTTTAGCTTGTTGGCGCCAATGGATCGAATATTTATGGGATAAGCCAGTGTGCATCCTTAGTGAATGATCAAAAGTCAAGATTGGTGCCACAGGAGTATAATAGAAGCTCCACCTGTTTTGCCAGCAGTTTCAGTCAGACAGTTGAGGCCGATACCTTAACATCCCTGACCTTATTTCCTGGATACTCATGTATGCTAATTAATCTGCATTTCCAGGGATGAAAGTTAGCTATGCATTCACGGTCGCCAAAACTGAATTGGAGATTTCATCGGAAATATTTTTCCTGCCTCCGCCATCTATTGAAAAAGCTGCTAAGTTTTTTGGTTTTTTTTTTTCCAATTTGGTTTAATCTGCCTTAAAGAGACTTCCTCCCCACCTGCCATCATTTAATTCCCTGCAGTTCCTCAGAAGGGCTGCCCTTGCTTGCCTGCCTTTTCAGAATAACAAAAGCACTTTAAAGTTCAGTCCAAAGCCTATTTGCATAAATATCTTGATTACACATAAAGATAGGAGCGGAGCTTAAAGCCACATCTTTTAACTAGGAATGCATTTCATTACCACTGATGCATGTGGGTGGCAGAAGCCAAGGAAAAGATGTCAGAAGTCAGGCATCCCAGCTTGAGGGAAGTATTTATTATTATTTTATTTGTCGAGTACGTATTAGATGATATATATAAGTATAAGCATGAATTGAGTACATAAAATGAATACAATTAAAGGGAACATTAGGACAGGGACGGTAGGTACACTGGTGCGCTTATGCACACCCCTTACAAACCTCTTAGGAAAGGGGTGAGGTCAACAGAAGCCAGTCTAAGGTTAAAATTTGGGGGGTTTGGGGATGAAACCACAGAGTCAGGTAGTGCATTCCAGGCATTGACCACTCTGTTACTGAACTCATATTTTCTGCAATCGAGTTTGGTTAAAAAAAAAAAACACCCCTTTTTTTTTTTTTCAAAAGCCAATGACCAAGGACGGATGCAAAATAAAAAAATCTTTCTCCTCTTGCTATAATGATGAATGCCCCCCCCGCCCCCCCGGCACCTCACCCCTTTTCTCCCAAGGATGAAAATACATGGGAATGCACTGCCTAAAGAAGGAAAAGCTTTTCAATATTTCAGAACCCTTTCTTACCTGCATTACGTTCGTAGTCTCCAATGAATCGCTTTGTGAGAAATCTTACGACCAGGGCTGTAATTAACCAACAAACAAACAAAAAAAAAAAGATGACATTTATCAAGAGGAGAGGAGGAAAAAGTCATCACTATTTTAAGGCTTATTAAAAACCCACTGCTGTCTGCTGCCCCCCCACACCTCTCCACCCAAATGCACACAGGCAGGTGGCAGATAAGCTGTGGATAGAGCAATCCAAAGGAATTTAGTCCTTCAAGGAAAAACTCCAGGAAGCCAGGGCAACTGGCTGTAGGATAATTAGAGAGGTTTGAAGGTTCGAGTAAATTTAAATTTACTCCAGTTTTTTCTAGCTTTCTGCCTCCTTAAACCTGTAGGCTTAGGTGACTGGAGTGCCCACTCGTAAAAACCCAGTGGGAATCAGCCTAAAAACTCTAATAAGATACGAACCTATCATCCTTTTATGCTGGGGCGGGGTCTCCATATCATGCCAAGAGGGGGTAAATGTCGATATTTTTTTTTTCCTCTCTTGCTTGACTATGTCCATCCCAAATATGGCAGCAGGTGTGTGGGGAACAGGGGAGCTGCCTCGTTCAGTTTAACGTTAATTCAAATGGCTACATTCCGCCTCCCCCTTTTTTTTGTGTGGGGGCTGGGTGGGGGGGGAAATCAAATACAAAGCGGGAGTGTCTGTTTGTTCCCTTTGAAGTTCGAAAGGCATTTTCTGCAGGAGGAGGAATTTCCTTTGGGTGAAACGGGCAGGATGAAAAGATGATGATGATGATGATGGAGGAGGAGGAAGAGAAGGGAGAAGGAGGAAGAAGAGGAGGACAAGGAGGAACAAGAAGAAGATGAAGAAGAGAAGGAAGACAATGAAGAAGAGGAAGATGAAAATGAAGAAGGAGGAGAGGAGAAGAAGGAGAGGAGGAGGAGGAAGATGAAGAAGAAGAGGACGAGGAGGAGAAGATGAAGAAGAGGAGGAGGAAGAAGATGAAGAGGAGGAGGAAGATGAAGGAGAGGAGGAGAAGAAGAGGAGGAGGAAGATGAAGGAGAGGAGGAGGAGGAAGATGAAGAAGGAGGAAGATGAAGAAGAGGAGGAAGAAGAAGATGAAGAGGAGGAGGAGGAGGAAGAAGGAGAGGAGGAGAAGAAGAGGAGGAAGAAGATGAAGATGACGAGGAGAAGGAGGAAGAGGAAGAAGATGAAGGAAAGGAAGAGGAGGAAGATGAAGAAGAAGAGGACGAGGAGGAGGAAGATGGAGAAGAAGAGGAAGAAGAGGAGGAGGAAGATGAAGAAGAAGAGGAAGATGAAGAAAAGGAGGAGGAGGAGGAAGATGAAGGAGAGGAGGAAGAAGATGAAGTTGACGAGGAGAAGGAGGAAGATGAAGAGGAAGAAGAGGAGGAGGAAGAAGATGAAGGAAAGGAAGAGAAGGAAGATGAAGAAGAGGACGAGGAGGAGGAAGATGGAGAAGAAGAGGAGGAGGAAGATGAAGAAGAGAGGAAGAGGAAGAAAAGGAGGAGGAGAAGAGGAGGAGGAGGAGGAAGATGAAGAAGAAGAGGAGGAAAAAGAAGAAGAGGAAGATGAAGGAAAGGAGGAGGAGGAGAAGAGGAGGAAGATGAAGAGGAGGAGGAGGAGGAAGATGAAGGATATAGGAGGAGGAGGAAAAGTAGTAGTAGTAGTAGTAGTAGTAGTAGTCTCCCTCCTCCAGCCAAGCGTCCCTTCTTCACCCTTCCACCCACCCACCCCCTTTACCCTCCGCCCCCAATACTCACCGGTCTTGCCCACCCCGCTGGCTCCCACCACCGCGATCTTGATGAGCCGAGGGCGGCCGGCGGCGTTCTCCGCCTGGGGATACTCGGCGATGGTCCCCATGTTCTGGATCAGGCGCATCGCAGCCGCCTGCGGCGGGGGGGGGAGAAAAAGCCGACTCGCAGGGCTGGGCGAAAGAAGCCGAGAGATGCCGAAGTCGCCTCCAAGCCCCAGCAGCTCCTCTTATGCTCAGCCTCGCCTCCCCCGGCACCTTTTTCTCCTCTTCGGCTCGGCTCCTCCCACTCCTCCTTTTTTTTCCTCCCTCCCCCCTCCCCAATTTCCCGCCTCTTTCCTCTCCCGTACAACCAATAGGGTCTAAAGCAGCTCCCCCCCCCCACCCACCTGGCCGCCCCACCCACCTACCCTTGGCCCCGCCTCTCACCCTTTCCCGGGCTCACGTTCCTGGGCAGGTTTTTTTTTTTGTTTTTGCTGCGAGCGCGTGGATTTCCCCCCCCCACAACTCCGTTCAATGGAAGGACGGCTTTTTTTTTCTCCCCCCCCCTCTTTTTTTTTTTTTAAACTCTTCCCCCCTCATAAGCCCTCCCCCACATCTGAGCCCCTGAAGTGGGACCTCTGGCCAGATTTGCCCCTGATGGGCGGACAGGTGGTTTGGCGAGGGGAAAAAGCCGCTTAAACGCAGGATGGATGGATGGATGGATGGGTGGGTGGATGGAGTAAGAACAGTGCGATCTGTTTTCTGCAATGTGAATCATTGTCCCACACACACACACACACACACACACACACACACACACACACACGTGGGCAGAGAAGTTGGACCCACTCTTGGCTGTGGTGGGGGGGTGCATGTTCAACCTTGTCCCTTCTGATTTGATTTCAGTCAAATCGCCCCTTATTCCCCAAATACTGCTTAGGACAGTGTTTCTCAACCTTGGTAGCTTGAAGATGGGTGGACTTCAACTCCCAGAATCCCCCAGCCAGCGCTGCTGGCTGGGGGATTCTGGGAGTTGAAGTCCACCCATCTTCAAGCTTCCAAGGTTGAGAAACACTGGCTGAGGGGGTGAAGCGATAAGGTTTTACACGCTTTTCAAAGGTGACCCGGATTCTTACATTCTTCCCTTAGGACATTAAAGAAAGTGACTTTCCTCACAGAAATTTAGTAAAGGTTGTTTTTTTTTTTTTTTTAAATTTGATTTATATGCCGCCCTTCTCCGGAGACTCAGGGCGGCTTACAATGCGCTAAGCAATAGCCTTCATACTTTTGTATATTTATACAAAGTCAGCTTATTGCCCCCACAAACTGGGTCCTCATTTCACCTACCTTAGAAAGGATGGAAGGCTGAGTCAACCTTGAGCCTGGCGAGATTCGAACCTGCAGTAATTGCAGGCAGCTGAATGTTAATAACAGGCTATTAATCTGCTGCGCCACCAGGCTCTAGGTAAAGGTTCCCCTCGGTCGTTCCCGACTCTAGGGGGCGGTGCTGTCAGAAAAATTTCTCCTTATTCCTAGGTTGAAGCTCTCCTTGACCAGTTTCCATTATTCCTTGGAAATGAGTAGATACACGCACGTTGTATGTGGAAGATATCAGAAGCGGTTTGCCATTGCTGAGAGAGAAGGACTGGGCCAGGGTCACCCAGCCAGCTTTCTGGCCAAGGTGAGATTAGAACTCATGGCCTCCTTTGTTTCTAGCCTGGTGTTTTAAGCACTACACCAAACTGGCTTTATAATAATGATGATGATTCTATTTAATTATTTACTTGCTTACTTACTTATAAAGCTAAGGTAAAGGTAAAGGTAAAGGTTCCCCTCGCACATACGTGCTGGTCGTTCCCGACTCTAGGGGGCAGTGCTCATCTCCCTTTCAAAGCTGAAGAGCCAGCGCTGTCCGAAGACGTCTCTGGTGGTCATGTGGCCGGCCCGACTCAACGCCAAAGGCGCACGGAACGCTGTTCCCTTCCCACCAAAGGTGGTCCCTATTTTTCTACTTGCATTTTTTTTACGTGCTTTTGAACTGCTAGGTTGGCGGAAGCTGGGACAAGTAACAGGAGCTCACCCCATTACGCGGCATTAGGGATTCGAACCGCTGAACTGCCGACCTTTTAATCGACAAGCTCAGCATCTTAGCCACTGACACACTGGCACACATTAAAAATGAAATTCTGTTGCCTGCTCTCAAAAGTGTACACATACATAATGCACATATATACATGCTACATACACACTTGGTGGGCGTGGTATGGCTTGGTGGGGGCGTAGTATGGCGGGGAAGGATACTGCAAAATCCCCACTCCCTCCCCGTTCCTGGGGGAAGGATATTGCAAAATCCCCATTCCCACCCCACTCTGGGGCCAGCCAGAGGTGGCGTTTGCCGGTTCTCCAAACTACTCAAAATTTCTGCTACCGGTTCTCCAGAATCTGCTGGATTTCACCCCTGGGGTGGATGAAACCTAAATCCTCCGTTTAATAGCCTACATGTCTACAGTGGATGCTGTCCGTATCATTGTGGCATAAAGCACACTGCCCTGAAAGCAGGAGCTCGAGTGTACATAACTGGCTGTGTTGGCAGCCGATCACCTGATGAACTCTGTACACTTTTAATAAGGAACAACAGAGAACTCTTTTTTTTTTATTGTAAAGTCTCCTCTCTAAATATGGCCAAGCCTGGTTCCCACTTAGTCATAATGTTATTCTAATACTCACCTCTTAATGATTTGTCCTAAGCTGTCCTAAGCTTTCTGCATTTATCTGACAAGGATTTCTATCTGGAGCTTACCTTCTGAAAGAAAAGCAAAAGTTAAAAATGACCAAGCATTTTGTTGTTGAACACTGAACTTCTGTTTTAGTGGAGAAGCCATACGAAAAATGGGGCTAGAAGATGAATCAAAAGTTGGATTTAAGATTGCTGGGAGAAATATCAACAACCTCAGATATGCAGATGATACCACATGGCAGAAAGCGAGGAGGAACTAAAGAATCTTCTGATGCGGGTGAAGAAGGAGAGTGCAAAAGTTGGTTTGAAACTCAACATTAAGAAAACTAAGATCGTGGCATCCGGCCCTCTCAATTCCTGGCAAATAGTTGGGGAAGAAATGGAGGTAGTGACAGATTTTATTTTCCTGGGCTCCAAGATCACCACAGATGGGAACTGCAGCCAAGAAATTAAAAGACGCTTGCTCCTGGGGAGGAAAGCCATGGCAAATATAGACAGCATTCAAAAAAGCAGAGATATCACCCTACCAACAAAAGTGCGTATAGTCAAGACTATGGTTTTCCCAGTTGCAATGTATGGCTGTAAAGTTGGACCATAAGAAAGTGCCAAAGAATTGAGGCCTTTGAACTCTGGTGCTGGAGAAGACTCCCGCGAGTCCCTTGGATTGCTCAACCGGTCGGTCCTAGAGGAGATCAACCCTGACTGCTCTTTAGAAGGCCAGATCCTGAAGATGAAACTCAAATACTTTGGCCACCTATTGAGAAGGAAGGACTCACTGAAGAAGAGCCTAATGCTGGGAAAGATTGAGGGCAAAAGAAGAAGGGGACGGCAGAGAACGAGGTGGCTGGATGGAGCCACTGAAGCAGTCGGCGTGAGCTTAAATGGACTCCAGAGGATGGTAGAGGACAGGAAGGCCTGGAGGAACGTTGTCCATGGAGTTAGTGGCCATTCGCAACTAACAACAACATACAAACCCACCACACGTGGGGCCAATTCCTCCTGTGTCGTTTGCTGGAGGGGGTGTGGGGAGAGGCTTCTTCACAACCTGTAAATTCATTGCCAAAAAATAAAAAAATCCACAGTTGTAGCAGCTTGTGGATTTTCTGGCATCTTTCTCCAAGCTGAGCCAGCTCAGAAACCACACGAGAAAATCCACTCTATAGTTGCTGCTGTTAGCAGAAAGCTGCTTCATTCAAACAACCGTGGGACAAAGGAGGACGAGAGCCAGAACTGAAAAGAAATTAAATACAAAGGAAGTCAACTTTGCTTTGTACTAGGGTAGGCAGGGCTGAAGCTTATCGTCTGAGATAGGATCTTCATTGTGAGAAAGAGGAGGAAGGAGAGAATTCAGCAAAACAGGCAGACATGAAATGGCTTTTAAGGCAGTCTGAAGGCGGACTCATTTTCTTCTCCTTTCCACAGAAAAAAGCTGACTAATGCTCTGCAGTTACAGTAAGATTTTTATCACTTTTGCAAGCTTTTGTGGCTTGCTCACTTTCCCCGTTCCAATTTTCTTCTTCTTTATGCAGTACGTGTCTGTTGGGCCAGAGAGGGGCGAAGGTGGACTCCATCCAGCCACCCTTCTCAGCCACAGAAACCCAGAATGGGATACAGGCAGGGGTGAAATCCAGCAGGTTCTGACAGGTTCTGGAGAACCGGTAGCGGAAATTTTGAGTAGTTCGGAAAACTGGCAAATACCACCTCTGGCTGGCCCCAGACTGGGGTGGGAATGGGGATTTTGCAATATCCTTCCCCCAGGAGTGAGGAGGGAATGGGGATTTTGCAGTATCCTTCCCCTGCCACGCCCACCAAGCCATGCCCACAGAACCGGTAGTAAAAAAAAATGGATTTCACCACTGGATACAGGCCTTACTTTACTATGGCTTTTGGAGGCAGAACAACAAGGAGATATCAAAGTTTGATTTTAGAAAGAAGGGGAGGGAGGGAGGGAGGGAGGGAGGGAGGAAGGGAGGGAGGAAGGAAGGAAGGAAGGAAGGAAGGAAGGAAGGAGAAAGGGAAGGGAAGGGAAGGACTTTAGGGTGGACCGAAAAGTCCAATTTGCTATAAAATTATTATTACCATTTTCGTGAGCTCAGTTCATGTAACCTTCAATACTGTACTCGCAAATCTCAAATCTTTTTTATGGCTCTGACTACCAGGTTCGATTGCTGCTGCAAATCAGCATGCAGTGCGGCAACATATACTGTATTTTTCGGACTATAAGACGCACCGGAGTATAAGATGCACCTTAGTTTTGGGGAGGAAAATAAAAAAAAAGCTGATTGGCAGGTGGATCGGCCTCCCGGAATACCCCCAATCAGCTGTTCCTAGAGGTTCATTGGTTGTGAGCTCTGCACCTTGCTTTTTTTTTTCAGCCTCTCAAACCTCCATTTCAGAGGCTTTTTTCAGCCTCTCAAACAGAGGTTTCAGAGGCTTTTTTTCAATCTCTGTTTGAGAGGCTGGGCGGGGCTACATTTGGTGCATAAGACGCACCCAAATTTTCAACCTCTTTTAGGGGGGGGGAAGGTGCGTCTTATACTCCGAAAAATACAGTACGCTTTAAAAGCAGCTAGTTCCTGTTTGTTTGTTTATT